TATTGGCCAAGAATTAGAAAAAAAATCGATCGTAATGTGCAAGCCATATCGTTTTGTCCATTTATCGTCATCGGTAACTCGATAGTTCGACGCCATCAAAATTACTCGAGGCCGTCACGATTCTTACGCGTGTCGAAAAGAGTATGAATATAATTGTTTGCAAATAAAATAAGACTCTCTCCGTTAATATGTCGCGTTTAATTATGCATCCCGGCGGTAGTTCCGGTTGAGGGCAAGAAATCGTCAGACGAGGTGCTTAGGAGTAAATCCGTCCCTCGGGAATAATACATGCATTTCTTACGAAAGACTAGTTCATCAGGCTGTGTTAAGGGCTAAATTAATTCTATGCGCTGACTACGGGTCTTCCCCGACGAGAGCAATTCGCCGCGTCCCGCGGGGGCGGAATTCGCGCGGTGAGAATCGATCGACGATCCGCGTGTCCACTCACGCGAGTCCGCCCGCGACGCAGCGGGACGGATGTGCGAAATGATTTCTGCTCACACCCGTTCAGAAGCTGCCGCAATTAAACGCTCACGACTAAATGCAGTTTCGTGATTTTAACATTTATCACCGCGGCTCTCAACTCCAGTTAATCCTGTTCTCACGCCCTTCGACCGATGTATAAACTCCGCTCATTATTTTGCTACACTCTCACGTTAAAAACCATATGTAATTATGAGGGACATAACAATCCACCAAATAAATCTTCCTCTTTCTCGTGTTAGGCTTAAAATCGTGTTCCATCCAGTTCGTTCTGTACTTTGAGCATTCACTTCATCTTCGGTAAGCTGCTACCTTGCCGAAGAAAACCTCCAATCTGGAGGGACGTACCCCTAAAAGGATATGTGTGGCAGGATACTCTCGGCGGTTACCGCTTCCCTACGGAAAATTCCGAAAAAAACCAGCGGCGTTCGTGGATTTGAATTCGGTTCTTTTCGTTCATTTATTTACTAAGCAGCGCACATTTCTCTGCGCCACACTCGCCACTACCAAATAAATAATACCTCGAAATTAGGAGTTTTATTTTGAGGAGGTACATTATCTACGCGATCACGAGTGTGGGCTTATGCAACACGGGATGAGATAACAAATGTTTTCACGAATTGGCAGTTCTAGGCGCAAAAGGTGCCAAAAGTGCAGAACCACTCCAGCATCCCCTCAAGAGTGTACGTACAAATCTTATTTCCACCGTAAAGTTAGATATTGACCCTTTTCGCTGGTTTTTATGTCGAAAATATTCCGTCCCCAATACGCCTGTAACCGTATCGCGATATCGGCGATACGAAGATCGTCGTTATTTCGAAGTCGTCTCGCGCGGCTTCGTGAATTTCTTCGCAGTGTTCTCCGAGCGACTTCATTACGGATTTATTGTTCGTTGAATCTGGTCTCTCTTTACAAGAATTCGCACCGGATTTCCCGTGGCGCTAAAAAAATTTTTGAGAAAATAAGCGAACACGTTCGCTCCCCCGGATGATCGTCACAAAGCGAAGCTCTAACTGGCGAGTACTTTTGTACTCCGTGTACCAACAACACGTCTGACGTAATAAAGCGGGGAACACCGACCGGTTTTGCGGACGCGAGTTCAGGGAGGCGAGCGAGAAATAAAGGAGTGCCATGGAAGCTCTGAAAAGAGGCGCATCGGACAATCAACGTTTTCATTCTCACGCTACTTTGGCGGTCGCGCCAGGAACTTTGAATAGCGAGCATCGTCAATGCGAAATTCTTGATCCGCAAAGGGGGTTTAATAACTGCGAAAGGAAGGCGGACAAATATATGAGAGAGCGAGAGGGAGAGAAAGGACGAGGAGGACGGGGTTGAAGGGTTTAATATGTACGA